AAAAGACACACCACAGGCAACTGCCCACACTACAAACCACCCTTAATCTAAATAAGGTTCCTACTCTAGATGAACTACTAAACCCTCAAAATAAACTAGAAAACTTCAAGGCCCTAGGCGTATTCCTAATCAAAACAGACCTAATTAAGCGCATCTAAAAACTAGTTAATCTACCAATCCAAAATCCAATAAACATACAAACACCCACCTCAACCGGCTCCCTTAGTTCCCTCCTCCACCCACCTTGGCATTTATTCCAAATTTAAAAATCTCAAAAATTCAATATAAGCAACCCCTAAAAGCCCCCTCTTGGGTTGCACACACCACTTTCATCCTTTTGGAATACACTAAATGGTGCGGCCAGGCCCGTGTGCGAAATACGCTGCAGTCGGAAAGCGCACGTTAAATCTTCTATATCAGTCAGTAGTTGTCTCAGCACTATACAATCAGCAATCTAAAAACAAAACAAAAATCCTCATCCTAACCGACTCCCTCAGTGGACTACAAGCCCTCAAAAACAAAAACACTAAAAACCACCCCAAACTAATAAATCAAATACTCAATAGCTCAAACAACTTAACTAGGGCAGGTAAACAAATAGAGTTCATTTGGACCCACGCCCACGTAGGAATCTTTGGTAATGAAAAGGCAGATAAAGCAGCAAAATTATCCCTTTAACTCCCAGAAATAAGCTTAAACTTACCCAGCTCAAAATCAGAAATCAAAGGTCTCACTAAACAAAAAATCAACAAAAAATGGCAAAATATATACCAAAACTTAAATAGCCAAATCAGGAAAGTACTCAAAAAAAACCCTAAATAAACCAAAAATACTACACCCATCCAAAACAATCGACAGAATTATTACTAAACTACAAACAGGCGGCACCAAACTAAATAATCACCGTAAAATAGCTAATCTACACAAAACAGGAAACTGCCCACATTGCAAACAACAAGAAACACCAGAACACGTACTCATTCACTGCACACACTACCAAACACACCGAACAACACTACAGACCACCCTAAATCTTTAAACCGAACTTACACTAGAATCAATCCTAAATCCATAAAATAAATTAGAAAAATTCAAAGTCTTAGGTTTATACCTAATTAAAACAGGACTAATAAGTCGCATTTAAACCCCAAATTAAATAATAAAACCAAAACTACCTTATCTAACAACCACCCAACACACAGCTCCCTTAGTTCGTCCCCCACCCACTCTTGGCATTCTTTCCAAATCTCAAAATTTCAAAATTACTGTATAAGCAACCCCTAAAGCCCCTAATTCATAGTCTTTTTATTGTTCAAATTACTGATAAAACATATGTTAACTTGTTCCTTCTAACCATATTTCCAAACATTTCCAAACAATTCCAAACCATTCCAAGTCATTCCAAACATTTCCAGTGTTGGAAATATGTTTGGAAATGTTGCCATTCCAATTTTGGATTTTTTGGAAAGATCGATCTTTCCAAGCTTTGGAAAGTTTGGAATGAGCGATCTTTCCAAAGCATTCCAACGTTCATTCCAAATTGGAATGGACGCTATTTGGTCTTGTGATGCCAGAACGGTCTGGCGCAAAATCCACGCCATCAGAGGCTTAAAACGACATAAAAAAAACCCTAACATTGACAACTCAACCAACCCCGCCCAAAAAGCAAATAATCTCGCCAACCACTTTTCGGCCGTTAGCAGTAACACCAACTTCAGTAAAAAATTCCAAGATAAACTTAAAACAGAAAACAAACCCACAAAAGAACCAAACAATAACAATCTAGAAATAAATCAACCCTACACAATGGAGGAGCTCCTCTACGTAATCCAAAACAGGAAAAAGGGCACAGCCCCAGGATTAGACCTAACTTCTTACCAAATAATTAAAAAACTCCCCCTAAAACTACTCCAGGCACTACTCAAACTATACAATCTCATCTACCTAAACGGACAGGTTCCTACTCCCTGGAAACAGGCCCTAGTCATACCAATCCCTAAACCTAATAAACCAGCTAATCAAGCTAACTCATATAGACCAATATCCCTAACTTCAAACTTATGTAAAGTAATGGAATCAATGGCTAAAAATAGATTACAACATTACTTAACCCAAAATAACATCATAAACCCAGATCAAAGCGGTTTCACTCCTGGCCGCTCAACCCTAGATAACCTCGCCCGACTAGAACAAGATATTAAGACAGGACAGCTAAATAAACAATATACCACAGGCATCTTCTTAGACTTCTCTAAAGCTTTCGACATGGTATGGCACGATGGGCTAATACAAAAACTTAAAAAAATAGGACTCAAAGGTCAGATAATAAACTACATCCAGGACTTCTTAAACAATCGTAAAATAACCGTGGGTATAGACCAAACTCTATCGGACCAATGTCCCCTAGAAAATGGTACTCCACAGGGCAGTATCCTCAGCCCCACCCTCTTCAATATAATGATAAACGATCTATTCGAGGGCCTATCCCCTAAAGTAAACACATCAAAATTCGCGGATGATGGAGCCATCTGGATCCGCACTAAAAGCATGAACATGGTCCAAAGTTTACTCCAAAAATCTCTTAATAAAATACAACAAGGGGCTGACAAATGGGGCTTCCCCCTTAACTCAGAAAAAACAACAGGAATAGTATTCAAACATAAAAACATGAAACCCGCCTCCCCACTCCTCCAGCTAAACAATCAAACAATCAAATTTAAAAAACAAACCAAATTCTTAGGACTTATTTTCGATGAACATCTCACCTGGGATGCTCACATCCAAAACCTAACAACTAAATGCAGTAAAGACCTAAACACCCTAAGATGCCTAACTGGCTCTAACTGGGGAGCATCCAAAGATACCCTCCTCTCTCTCTACATATCACTAATTAGATCAAAACTAGACTACGGCTGCGCCATATACAACACCCTAAACAACTCTCTATCTAAAAAACTTGACTCAATACAATATCAGGCTCTCAAACTAATTACACGCACCCAACATGGCACCTCCTACACCTCACTTCAGGCTTTAACAGGAGAAATGCCACTAAGTCTACGCAGGGAACAGCTAAGCTTAAATTTCTGGGACGCGTCCCAATCAAACCCTCTCATCCAAAACTTAATAAACCAAAACATCAGCCCCAAAAACCAAGCTCTAGCTCGTAAACACCCCTTACTTACCCCAATATCCCAAAGAATAACAAACTACCTAAATGAACACCAAATTAAAAATCTTAAACAAAACTGCAAACAATCAAATATCTTCACCCCTAAACTTAAAATACCCAAAATAGACACAACACTAGCTAGCCAAATAAATAAACAAACCGACCCAAACATAGCTAAAACTACCACACTAGCATACATACACGAAAATTGGCCAAATTGGTGTCACATTTACACGGACGGATCCTCAGATCCGACCTCCAAACACACAGGTTTCGGAGTCCATACCACACAACCAACTAAAACCACACAATCCTTCAGACTCCCAAACAACCAATCAATATTCACGGCAGAACTAATGGGCATGGCCTCAGCCCTACATAATCAAGAATCCAAAAACCACAAAAAAATCCTAATACTTACCGACTCCCTAAGTGGACTGCAAGCCCTCCAAAACAAAAATACCAAAAACCGACCTAAATTAATAAATCAAATACTTAAAAGCTCCAACGACCTAACTAAGGCAGGCAAACAAATAACCTTCTTGTGGATACCCGCCCACGTAGGAATATACGGTAATGAAAACGCCGATAAAGCAGCTAAACTATCCCTCAAAATCCCAGAAATAAGCTTAAACTTACCCATCTCAAAATCAGAAATTAAAAGTGTAAACAAGCAAAAAATCACCAAAAAATGGCATAACCTATATCTAAACTCAAACAGCCAAATCAAAAAAGTGCTCAGCAAACCACTAACCAAACCAAAAATTCTCCATCCATCCAAAAAAATCGACAGAGTAATCACTAAACTCCAAACAGGACACACGAACTTAAATAACCACCTAAAAAAATTTAAAAAACACACTACAGGTAACTGCCCACACTGCAAACAACCGGAAACCCCAGAACACGCACTCATCCACTGCACACACTACCTAACACATCGAACCGCATTACAAACCACCCTCAATCTAAACAAGGCTCTAACTCTAGAAGCAATACTAAACCCACAAAATAAACTAGAAAACTTCAAGGCCTTAGGCGTATTCTTAATAAAACGGAACTAATAAAACGCATCTAAAAACACAATAACCTACCAAATCAAAATCACATAAACAAACAAACATCCACCATACCCAGCTCCCTTAGTTCTCCTCCCCAATCCCATCGGCATCTATTCCAAATCTCAAAATTCCCCAATTCTATATAAGCAACCCCTAAAACCCCCCTCTTGGGTTGCACAGACCACCTTCGCCCCTTTCGGAAACACGTTAAATGGCCTGGCCGGGCCCGTGTGCGAAATACGCATCAGTCGGAAAGCGCACGTTAAATCTCCAAAGTAAGTAAGTAAGTAAGGTACGTATCATTATCAGTATCGATGGTGGCTGGTTTAAGGAAAGTAGAGTACATTACCTCTCGGCGTGGAAGTAAGCAGTTGATATCAGATGGATATATTTACAACAGAAACCGTGAGAGGCAAACCTGCACACATTGGAGATGTGTCGTCAAGACATGCAATGGGAAATGTACGACTGTCGGTGACTTTCTTCGCAATCAGTCGGAACATAACCATCCACCTGAAGATGAAACCAGAGTGACCTTTGTCAGCAATCTTCGTAAAAGAGCGCGAGAAGAAACCACACAGATGCAGGCATTGTACGAGGAGCAAGTCACTCAAGTAGATGAAGCCAGCATCCCAGCGATGCCATCATTTCAGAGCGTGAAAAGTGCACTTTACAGGTAAATATCATCCCGTATTTTTGACTTGGTTAGAATTAACCTTTTTTTTAGGTCCCACCTAACTTGTTTAACTGTTAACCATTTCAAGTGAATGGATGGTACCTTCACATCATGTCCAGATTTATGGGATCAAGTATACATCATTCATGCCAGAGTTGGTCAAAACACCTTCCCTCTAGTGTTCGCCCTTTTGCCAGATCGTCAAGCAACAACCTATGGCCGGCTTTTTCGACAACTGAAGACAGAAGTTCAAGAGCGACTCAACAGACTAATGTCACCTAGCAAGATACAGATCGACTTTGAACAGGCCGTTGTCAGCGCGATCGAGACAGAGTTTCCGCAAGCAGTGATCAAGGGATGTTTTTTTCATTTCACCCAGGCTATTTGGAGAAAGACTCAAAGTCTTGGACTTGCAGTCATGTATAAGGAGGACCCCCGTGTGACCCAGTGGATTCGACGAGCAGCTGGGCTAGCTCTGCTGCCCATTCCCTTTGTTCAGGATGCGTGGGTTCAAGCTATGCAGTCGACACCATATGTGCCTAGAGCTGTGGACTTTAACGACTATATTGTGAGAACCTGGGTGGATGATGACGCCAGATTCTCAATGCGCATGTGGAACCATTTCGAAACTGATGGACCCAGAACCAACAACAACCTTGAGGGATTCCACAGCCGACTGAACTACCTACTGCCACATGTTCACCCTAACATCTACAGATTCATTGAAGTCATCCAGAAAGTTGAGTTCAGTGAAAGGACTAAGGTGATGCAATTGAACTTTGGTGCGGCACCACGCTGCCGCAAGAGAATCTACAGAGAGACAGAGAACTGCCTGGTACGACTCAAAGATCAGCTGCAGCAGGGTGACAAGTCTGCTATTGAGTATTTAGATGCTTGTGGACATTTGCTTCGTTTGGGATAAAACTGTAAAAGTTATTAAATGTAAAGTTTACATTATCAAAAACTGTCACAAAGTGTTGTTACAAACTGTATAAAATTTATCAAATGTAAAGTGTCATTAAATGTGAAGTATAATATTAAACTATCTATTTAAAGCTGCTTTTCTTTGTTTGTCCGATCTTATCTGGACTATTCCATTTTAAAGTCTGAGGTAACAAGCATAAGGATTAGTGTACACTCAACCGTTTAAAGTGTTGTTATAAGCTGTCTAACTATTGGGACGTCTAACTAATGGGAGGACACCGCTCCATAGCCGTGAGGCTGGAAAAGAGCAGCATGTAATTAATGAGGGTGGGTTATATCATTGAGGATACACTTGAGGGAGAGAATACTAATTACCGTACTACAGGAAGAGACCTGTAGACGTAAGCGCGGGGTTGTGTTTTAGCTGGCCGTTCGATAATGGCCGCCAGGAGAAGTGAGCTTTGACTGCGTCATCTAAAATAAATAATAAGATACAGCAGTGTTATTTTCACGGGTCTGTTGAATAAACTCCCAGCGCTACGATCAATGTATCTTCTACTTGATCCTTGATACATCATTTTGGCATTTTACAATATATAGTATTTCAACGCACAAAGGAGCACTGATCTAAAGCAATTCCGCGGGAGTAGTTGTTACCTGTGCATTACTGTATTTTCCCAGTGAGTACCCGGATGATATAGCAGAAATCTAGACTTGTTCGCGACCTGTGCTCGCCATTCGTAAGCGCATTTTTATTGAAAGTAGAAGGACGTATGGTCACATTGATCAACAAAAATGAAATACAGTTTTAGAAATGTAGGTATATTTGAGGGGAGCATCGGTAATGGTGATGCAGTTTTGGTAAGTCACTTGCTTGGTAATTGTGCGATCTTTGTGTACACTGTTTTGACTTGCAACACAAAGAAAATATTTCATCTGAACATTGCTTATTTTACCGTGTGTATATGTTTACATTCAAAATGTAAACAGATTTCACTAAGGAAATGTATTAAACGCCTAAATATTCAGTTTATTTTACAAATTAACTGAAAAATATGTCCATCTTTATTAATATGATAACGAATTCCAAATATTTGTTTATGTTTAATATCATCACCAAGTACAGTTCTGTATTGTTTGGCTTTTTTTCTTAGCATAATTAATATATTGTGATGTGTTTAAGCTCTTATGATCGTCTTTATCATTTTTAGTCAGTCGGTTAAATAAATGAATGGATTATTCAGTCAATTTGTAAAATGACTGAAATATTTAGATATTTAATAAATTGCCTGAGTGAATCATATTTTACACATTGACTGTAACATATACACGCTTACAAAAGAAAATACTTGTGAAAACAACGTCTATCGCGCATCGAAAAACTTCCCAACCAAACAAGAATGATTCTGTTCAAAGCTGCAGCGAATGAATGAAAACAAAATGCAAATATCATTATTACAACCTACCAAAGTTATAATGTATCCGGGAATATCAACATAAAGGAACAATATCCATTGCGTCTGCAGCTGTACACAAATACTTATTCGATGTCAAATGTCTATGTGAGAATCAAATACTTTAATAATAATTATTTGGAAACAATATTTGGAATATACATGAAATATATTAAAATATTGTAATATATCGTTTTTAAACGTTATTTAAATGTATCGAATATTATAACCCGTGTTTGTTTCTTAACTGATCACATTGTTTGTTTCAATTGTTTCACATAGGTGCCAAGTTAGCTGAGAAAGCCCACGTGACAACTATTTTTATAATGTCCACGGTTCTTAAAAACATACATTGAGTTAGATAACAATGAACAACCGATCAGTGTATTATCGGTTACCCTTTGAACAAAGTATGTTGTTTTTACATCTGTACTTCACGCCATGAAATGAGTGTATTCCCTAGGTTTAGTAAACCTACCTTCACATGTAAACACTTACTTTTGACATATCCACTGTGCAAGATAACAGTAATTAATCAATCAACGTATTTCCTGTTGATCCTTTGATGTCTGGGAATGATCAGTTGATTTACAAAAAAAGTAAAGCAACTGACCATACTTCTCTTGCTGGGCTGCCACATGCATATCACATAACTCACATTCCACCTCACTTCAAACCTGGATTTAGATTGAATAATTACCCTAAGTACAAGAAAGACCAAATTTGAACCTTTATAATCTGAGTGGTGCTACAACTAAGTATACATGTTAAAATTCATTAACTGAGCAGCAAGTGAATTACGACAAATACACAAGTGTAGGGTTGGTTATACCAGAAAATGTGGATGACAACAAGGGAGTAGTAATTGTTTCATTCACGCAATCCGAAATACGCAAATGCTTTTACTCAGGGATACTTTTTTATTATTAAACTGAAACCATCAGGGGTATTTCCAAATAACGACATCCGATGAGCTTTCGCCGTTATTTGTCTGTTTGTTTAGGCTGAAGAAATTAATTACCATGCGCCCTTTGTCGAAATCTTCATAGATCACGGGTAACCAATCAGTTTTCAAAAATGCGTAAGCTTATTTAGCTGTCCTTGCAGACTGGTATCCCAGTCTCTTGTCACGCTTTAACGAGCAAATTGACTCACGGCAGCTAGAAAGCCCAAGCGGAAATCCAAAGGTCGTATTACCTGAAGAATCAACCTTCATGTGCGAAATATCTACTGCTCTCAAAATTAAAGAGAACTTTCTAACCAAGGATTACCAGTTGAAACTGGTCGATGGCTGAACATTCCCAGGGAAGACAGCCAGTGTCCACTCAGTGAATCTTTCGCTGTGGGAGATGAATTGCATTATTTTAGGATAATGCTTTAGCAAAAGTAGATGCTGCACCATTGCAAGAAAAAACACAAAGACTTGAGTTGGATGTAAGGCCACAGGTTTATATACAGAAAAGTACAAGGACTGGAGAACACTCCTGGGCTGGGAAACGCTAAACACGGCTGACTGTCAACCCGAAGGTGCCCGGACAGAACAGCAAACGCGGCTCTGAGGGTACAAACCATACAGAGCCAAATGATGGGACCCCCCAGGGAAAAGCGCATAGGGGGTCTGCTGTAGGCTCTACAACCACCATTATACAATAGGGCCTAGAGGGTATGCCTCAAAGACCCCAAAAACAAAAATATCACTACTCCCAGCCCAAGAGTGTTATGCGATGATACAAACCAATTGTCGTGCGTTGTAATGTGTAGAATGTGCTAGTCCAGGATCTTCACCTGTTGTGCACATACAAACCCCTGTGACTTGTTCGACGCATGTTTATGCCAGGACACCTCTTGCCTGGCATATACTGAATTGTCCAAAACTTGCCACAACTACAATGTAAAGGAAAACAAGCAGCAGTACATGTTCCTGATACATACAAATACTTGCAATTAGATTAACTATCAACTGAAGAAATGTTATACAGATATGTACGTTTGAAATGAGAAGTAATGGGTGGGATGGGAGGGAAAAACGTGTTACCGGTGTGGTTGTGTGGATGAAAAGAGGATGTAGCAACTAAATTCGGCTGCAACATGGGTTACTTCCCTTTGTTTAGAGCATGTGAAGAACAATCCTGAATAATACACTGATAAGGAGCCTTGCACTATTAAACCAGGAAGAGTAGCTTCCCTTGCACTATTAAACCAGGAAGAGTAGCTTCCCTTTGACCGTGGAACACAAATGCATAGGGAGAAAGCCCCTTGAATTGGAATAATGTAAGATTACCAAAATAATGCATTTTATTAATTAATAATAAAATTAATTATTTTAGGATAATGCTTTAGCAAAAGTAGATGCTGCACCATTGCAAGAAAAAACACAAAGACTTGAGTTGGATGTAAGGCCACAGGTTTATATACAGAAAAGTACAAGGACTGGAGAACACTCCTGGGCTGGGAAACGCTAAACACGGCTGACTGTCAACCCGAAGGTGCCCGGACAGAACAGCAAACGCGGCTCTGAGGGTACAAACCATACAGAGCCAAATGATGGGACCCCCCAGGGAAAAGCGCATAGGGGGTCTGCTGTAGGCTCTACAACCACCATTATACAATAGGGCCTAGAGGGTATGCCTCAAAGACCCCAAAAACAAAAATATCACTACTCCCAGCCCAAGAGTGTTATGCGATGATACAAACCAATTGTCGTGCGTTGTAATGTGTAGAATGTGCTAGTCCAGGATCTTCACCTGTTGTGCACATACAAACCCCTGTGACTTGTTCGACGCATGTTTATGCCAGGACACCTCTTGCCTGGCATATACTGAATTGTCCAAAACTTGCCACAACTACAATGTAAAGGAAAACAAGCAGCAGTACATGTTCCTGATACATACAAATACTTGCAATTAGATTAACTATCAACTGAAGAAATGTTATACAGATATGTACGTTTGAAATGAGAAGTAATGGGTGGGATGGGAGGGAAAAACGTGTTACCGGTGTGGTTGTGTGGATGAAAAGAGGATGTAGCAACTAAATTCGGCTGCAACATGGGTTACTTCCCTTTGTTTAGAGCATGTGAAGAACAATCCTGAATAATACACTGATAAGGAGCCTTGCACTATTAAACCAGGAAGAGTAGCTTCCCTTGCACTATTAAACCAGGAAGAGTAGCTTCCCTTTGACCGTGGAACACAAATGCATAGGGAGAAAGCCCCTTGAATTGGAATAATGTAAGATTACCAAAATAATGCATTTTATTAATTAATAATAAAATTAATTATTTTAGGATAATGCTTTAGCAAAAGTAGATGCTGCACCATTGCAAGAAAAAACACAAAGACTTGAGTTGGATGTAAGGCCACAGGTTTATATACAGAAAAGTACAAGGACTGGAGAACACTCCTGGGCTGGGAAACGCTAAACACGGCTGACTGTCAACCCGAAGGTGCCCGGACAGAACAGCAAACGCGGCTCTGAGGGTACAAACCATACAGAGCCAAATGATGGGACCCCCCATGGAAAAGCGCATAGGGGGTCTGCTGTA